TTCTGGAGAAGGAAATGGCAGTATTCTTGCCTGGGAAATCCCATGGACAGAGGAGCCTGGTAGGCTACTCTCCATGGGGTGGCAAAACAGGGGGACACGACCTAGCGAATAAACAACAAGAAAAGGAAAGGGCATTCCATAATGGCCAAAAAAGAAAAAGAAGTTCCTTCCATTTCTTCTTCTCTTGTCATTTTATCGACTTTATAGCCAAAAAAAAAAAAAAAAAGTGGGGGGGTGTGGTGCAGACGGCAACAGCAGCAGTACCAAGCCTACAAAAACAAGACAACTGCCAAGGAAAAACCTAGGAGAACAAAGGTGGAACCAGGGTATTAGGTGACTTGGCTGCAGAGACCCCCCCACTCTCGGAAACACCACACAAAAAGGGATGGGTCTAGAAAAGGATCAAAGGATCCAATTGGTAAGGGAATTCCAGATCAGTATGATAGATGCGCTGCGAATAGAAAGTCTAGCAAAATCCCCCAAGATCAGTACAGGTCTACAATAAGATTTTCTGAAATCAACATATGACTTAAACTGCAATTTTTTAAAAAATAATAATTATTATGCAAGAATTAGTTCAGTTCAGTCACTCAGTCATGTCTGACTCTTTGTGACCCCATGGACTGCAGCACACCAGGCCTCCCTGTCCATCACCAACCCCCGGAGTTTACTCAAACTCACGTCCAATGAGTCGGTGAAGCCATCCAACCATCTCATCTGCTGTAATCCCCTTCTCCACCGGCCTTCAATCTTCCCCAGCATTAGGGTCTTTTCAAATGAGTCAGTTCTCGTATCAGGTGGCCAAAGTATTGGAGTTTCAGCTTCAACATTAGTCCTTCCAATGAATATTCAGGACTGACTTCCTTTAGGATGAACTGGTTGGATCTCCTTGCAGTTCAAGGAACTCTCAAGAGTCTTCTCCAATACAACAGTTCAAAAGCATCAATTCTTCAGCGCTCAGCTTTCTTTAGAGTCCAAGTCTCACATCCATATATGACTTCTGGAGAAACCATAGCCTTGACTAGATGGACCTTTGTTGGCAAAGCAATGTCTCTGCTTTTGAATATGCTGTCTAGGTTGGTCATAGCTTTTCATCCAAGGAGAAAGCGTCTTTTAATTTCATGGCTGCAGTCACCATATGCAGTGATTTTGGAGCCCAAGAAAATAAAAGCCTGTCACTGTTTCCCCATCTATTTGCCATGAAGTAATGGGACCAGATGCCATGATCTTAGTTTTCTGAATGTTGAGCTTTAAGCCAACTTTTTCACTCTCATCTTTTGCTTTCATCAAGAGGCTCTTTAAGTCTTCTTCGCTTTCTCCCATAAGGGTGGTGTAATCTGCATATCTGAGGTTATTGATATTTCTCCTGGCAATATATCTTGTGATTCCAGCTTGTGCTTCCTCGAGCCCAGTGTTTCTTATGATGTACTCTGAATACAAGTTAAATAATCAGGGTGACAATATACAGCTTTGACATATTCCTTTCACTATTTGGTACCAGTCTGTTGCTCCATGTCCAGTTCTAACTGTTGCTTCCTGGCCTGCATACAGATTTCTCAAGAGCCAGGTCAGGTGATCTGGTATTCCAATCGCTTGAAGAATGTTCCACAGTTTGTGGTGATCCAAACAGTCAAAGGCTTTGGCATAGTCAGTAAAGCAGAAATAGATGTTTTTCTGGAACTCTCTTGCTTTTTCGATGATCCAATGGATGCTGGCAATTTGACCTCTGGTTCCCCTGCCTTTTCTAAAACCAGTTTGAACATCTTGAAGTTCACGGTTCACGTATTGCTGAAGCCTGGCTTGGAGAATGTTGAGCATTACTTTACTAGTGTGTGAGATGAGTGCAATTGTGCAGTAGTTTGAGCATTCTTGAGCACTAGAACGAAAATTGACCTTTTCCAGTCCTGAGGCCACTGCTGCATTTTCCAAATCTGCTGGCATACTGAGTGCAGTGCTTTCACAGCATCAACTTTTAGGATTTCAAATAGCACAACTGGAATTCCATCACCTCGACTAGCTTTGTTCATAGTGATGTTTCCTAAGGCCTGCTTGACTTCACATTCCAGGATGTCTGGCTCTAGGTGAGTGATCACACCATCGTCATCATCTGGGTCACGAAGATCTTTTTTGTACAGTTCTTCTGTGTATTCTTGCCACCTCTTCTTAATATCTTCTGCTTCTGTTAGGTCCCTACCATTTCTGTCCTTTATTGAGCCCATCTTTGCATGAAATGTTCCCTTGGGATCTCTAATTCTCCTGAAGAGATCTCTAGTCTTTCCCATTCTATTATTTTCCTCTATTTCTTTGCACTGATCACTGAGGAAGGCTTTCTTATCTCGCCTTTCTATTCTTTGGAACTCTGCATTCAAATGGGTATATCTTTCCTTTTCTCCTTTGCTTTTGGCTTCTCTTGTTTTCACAGCTATTTATAAGGCCTCTGCAGATGGCCATTTTGCTTTTTTGCATTTCTTTTTCTTGGGGATAGTCTACGATCCCTGTCTCCTGTATAATGTCATGAACCTCTGTCCATAGTTCTTCAGGCACTCTATCAGATCTAATCCCTTGAATCTATTTCTCACTTTCACTGTATAATCGTATGGGATTTGATTTAGGTCATACCTGAATGGTCTAGTGGTTTTCCGTACTTTCTTCAATTTAAGTCTGAATTTGGCAATAATAACATGCAAGCATACATGTTATGAAAGTGTACTAAAACATCTATAACTTCCCACTTAAAAACCTAAAATTAGATTCCAAAATTTGTTCAGAAAGAACAAAAGCCTTCTAAGTAAGATCCTTAATACAGCTGCTAAAATATTTTTTCCTCAGATCCTTTTATTAAAGACTAGAGTTGAACCTAGTACAAGGTTACCTGAAAAGTATTTAAGCATCAGGAAACTATATGCAAACAGGTAAGGGATGCACCGATATTCAGCTTTAGCTTCATAGCACAGCTAAAATCTGCCATTCAGCTTCAGCTTTAGACCAGTTTTTGCAAGGCAAAGGAGCTGAAACCTAAAAGGTCATTTCTGGCATCAATGAACGTGCCCATGATCAATTACCTTATGACTGAGTATCTTGTGATCACAACTAAACTTTGTCACGAACAGTATATGATTTGAACTTATTGCAAACATCTGCAGATTCACTTGAAATACAGGTTAAGAATTCTAATTATGACCTAGATGAAACCATGTGTTTTACATGGTGAACTTACATAAACTAAGAAAACATAATATCTGTAAATACTGCGGTAATAAAATGCAGAAATATATAATTTTGGAAGCTGTTCACTCTATACCACAAAATAATTTAAAACTTCCAAATAATTCTTGGAAAAATAATTTGGAATAAAAATATCAAAAGAACATGTATCAGCCAGCTCTTTCTAGAAATCTTAGTAAGGCAAAATAAGGATAATTTAGTAAGTGTAATATCTCTACAATTTTAGTATATTACTAGATCCCTAGGGTCCCAAGAGTCGGACACGACTTAGCAATTAAACCACCACCATTAAACTAATGTTTAAGAACTGTGCTTTTTAAGTACTTACATTCAGTACTGAGACCGTCAAGAAAAAGCCACTTGGGAATTTTCATGTCTTGTGAGAAAATTAAAAGCAGAATCTCAACTTCTGCTGTGAAAGAGCAGAAGTTTACTGTTTGGGCAAAAACACCTATTCAGATAAGTGCTGATACCTGCTTTTCACCTTGGAGCATTCTCCCCAGCCTCCTATTTAAAAGAGTAAATAGGGGGTCTATCACTCCAAGCTTTACCCTGGGTGTTGCTCATCCGCCCTGCTGTCAGTGAAGGCTTTCTGTGCGCCTCCCTTCTCCCGCTCCTTAGGTGAGGGGGTGAGGAAAACTCATACTCAAATGAAAGGCATCCCTGGGTCTCAGGTGCATCTTGCGAAGCTCCTGTTAGCCCACCTTCACAGAACAAACCTGCTCTCCCCCAAACCTCACCCCTAACAGAGTTGGGGTGACGGGTGATGGGAAGATGGCAGAAAAAGACCTGAAAACAACTTGGGCAAGGGGCTTGCAGCCTAACTCACTAACTCAGCAGGAAATTTAACCTCCAAGTCCTTCTGTTTTCTTCTCTCCTGCACGCAGACTAAGACTGTTCTCGCAGGAGTGTTACTCCAGTGAGGCTACCCACAGAGATAAAACAGCACGTACGGGCCCCAGCACCAAGTAGCTGCTCAGTAAACGCTGGCTCTCACTGTCCTGCACACTTGAGCGCTGCCTCCACGGTTTGTGATATCATCTATCCTCCGGAATGGCGGCTGGAACACACTCTCACCAGATACAAAGGCTTGGCATTTTCCCGCAATCTCTCCTAAGCGTTTGCTTTCAACCTCCAGCACTTCCAGGCCATTCCCTGACAGCCACCGGCTTGTGCCGGTCCTACTCACGTGTCTCTAAACTTCTGGATGGAGAGAGGGAGGAAAAATTCTGAAAACCTGAGAGAAAAGGGCCGAGAGTCAAACCTTATCTAGACGGCCCCTCCCAGAACTCACACTGCACATTCTGAAAAGAGGGGAAGAACTGCTGGATGCCAGAAGGAGATGCTGAGGCCTGCGGGAACGCGGCGCTGTGGGCGGCGCCCCCACCCCCATCCATGCCCACCGGGAAAGCGGGGCGCTTCTGGTCACACTTCCACATCCTGAAGCAAGTAAGCGTTGGCGGGGCTGCGTGCGCGCCCGGACGACAGCCGCCCGCGCGCGCCTCTGCCAGCGCCAGGACACAGCCCCCGCCGGGCCGCGGCGGTGGGAGGCAGCATCCCGCCTCACTTCCTGCGGCGGAGGAAAGACATCTTGCTGCAGGGCGGCCGGCGGCGCGGCACCTACGTGGCGGCGCCGCCTCGGGAGGAGCGGGACTCGGAAGCCGCCCCAGCTCCCCGCGGGGCTCCCGAAGAGAGGCGGCGCGCGCGGAGCCCGCGGCTGAGGGGCGCGCGGGGCGGCGGGAGCGGGGGCGCGCAGGCCGCCGCGGGTCACCCACCTTCCTCACGCGGCGGGCCGTGTAGAGCCCCATGCCGTCCTGAACGCGGGAGGACTTCAGGGAGAACCTGTCCGGCACGTACATGCCCAGCATGTTCCCGCCGCGCCGCCGCCGCCCTCAGCGCCGGCCCCGGGGACTTGGGGTGCCGGGGCGGCGGGGAGAGGCCGGCGGGCGGGGAGGAAATGGAGCCTCCCTCGCAGAATCCCCACCTCCCTCCGACTCCAGGATCCCCCGCGGCGCGGCCCCTCCTTGTCCCGGGTCCGGCTCGGCCGCGAGCGGCGGAGGCCACGGCGGGCGCGGGGGCGCAGGGACGCCGCGCGCTGATTGGCCCGAAGTTAGCGGCCCGCACCCGCGCCCGGCACGGAGCCTCGAACCCGGAGGCCGGGGAGCCGACCCGCCCGCCCGCGCGCTGCGCCCGGCGGCGCGACGTGCCCCCCCTTCTCCGCCTCTGGGGTTTGGCTCTGAACTAGGGCTCCCAGTCAGGGGATGTTACACTCCAGAGGCAAAACTGAGTGGGTCTTGACAGAGCTGGGGCCATCCTCCAAAACAACTGTACAAGTTTCAGGCCGAAAGCACACTTACTGCCTGACTACTGAGAGCAGTACCTGAGGTCTAGGAAATTTCAGCCTTTTTACCTGTGAGGTCCGCATCTTTGCTTTACTTCATGCTTATTTCAGAGGCTTAAACTCGTAGGGGACTAATGAATACGTTCATTAACCTTCAGAGAAAGGCGTATACGCAAGTAATCCATTTCAAGTTGACTCGAAATTTGTTGTGAACAACTGAAGTAACATTTAAATCCAGTAGAAATTAGTTAGTTTATGGTGTCCTAATCCCTGGGAATTTCTTACACTTCCAAAGGTAAACTATCCCCGCGTCTTCTCTTCCTGGAAAATCACCAGACCAATTACGGATTTTCAGTCAAAACGTGAGATGGGGAAGATAAAAGGGAGTGACCGAACAATGGAATCTGGAATTTTGACCATAAATTCACAAGTCTTCTTTTAGTGTTTTTAATAAAGTTAGATACTGCAGTGGCATTCAGAATTTCAAAAGGATGTTTGTTTCTTTAGGAGGAACTGGACTCTCTCTGCTCATTTCTCTGGATATTCTTTATCATTTTCTGCACTGGGTTCTTTTCTCGGAAAGTATTTGATGTTCTCAATAAATATTGTTTCTTATAAACCGATAAAATAATAACAATTTTGACAAAATTAAAGGCACACTGTTCAGAAAAACTTATATGAATACATTTTAAAGATCTTACTGGCTTTATTCAACCAGTCATGATTTAGACAACATCCAATGTGACTGAAAGAAAGAAGTTCCGAGGACCTATACAAAATGAAAGGCTATTATGAGCAGAAGGGCTTAGGAACAAGGACGTTATACCAGGCAAAAAACGGACTGATTATTGAAAGGTATCTTTCTTTTAGGGGATGGTGGGGGCCTATGAGGCATATCACCTAATTAATGCTGATCAAGCACCTACCTATCGACTAGCCAAAGCTCCCATTTTCTAGGAGAGCCAAAATTTGGGATTGTCTCAGTTTTGATGGAGAATTTAGCATTTAGCATTTGGGGCCTGTTGTCATGTTTTTAGCAACACGGGTGGAAATGATTCCTGTCTTCCAGGCTAAGTAAAACTTTGGAACATAAACAGTCCTAATTTCCTAAGTAGGAGAATTTTATTAAAGTTCAGAAAAAGGTTTTTGAAAAAGCATTATGAATAAAATTATGTTAGTAGCAGTATTTGGAAATCTTAAAGACTTATATTATTTTTTAAAAAACTGAAGAGCAGGTGTCTAGGGATGAGAAGAACATGTGCCTTAATCATTCTCTGAGTTCTGATCTCTTCGCCATTGAAGATATCTAACTTTTCATAGAGGTATATGAATTAACTTGTGCTTCCTAGGTAGCACAGTAGTAAAAGCACAGTGCTGGAGACTGGGGGCGGGGTTCAGTCCCCATCCCTGGGTTCCAAAGATCCCCTGGGGGAGGAAATGGCTACCCATTCCAGGATTCTTGCCTGGGAAATTCCATGGAATGGGGAGCCTGGCAGGGTACAGTCAGTGGAGTCACAGAGGCAGACACGACTGAGTACACACATATCAGTAAATAAACGAAGTTTGTTTGTGGGAAATTTGAAATTAGATGGTCTTGAAGCATGTAATATTGGTTAATAAATACGTCTTGATTAAAAGCCAACACTGAGGGACTTCCCTGGTGGCCCAGTGGCTAAGACTCTGTGCCTCTAATGCAGGGGGCCCAGACTCGATCCTTGGTTGCAGAACTAGATCCTGCAACTAAAGATCCCCTGGGTGCTGCTGTGAAGACCCGGTGCAACCAAATAATTAAATAATAAATAAAATAAATAGTTTTTGAAAAGTCAATGCTGAGGATAAGCCGAGACTTTCTAATCAGTCAATGGTAAGGCTAGAATCCATTTGTTGTTTGTTCCTCAAAGAATCTGGACTAAGTAGGTTGTCCTGGAGTCCATTCAGCCAGAGCAGGTCCACTGAACCCAGCTGGAACCAGACCACAGTCCAGAGGTGACGGGTGGCACTTTTGCCAGGGCACTTCAGCCCTGACCCTCAAGCCATCCTGGCTCCTCTGCCAAATGCTCTACCATGCCTCTTTGGTAGCTTCCACGGTTTCTCATCACTAGGGAGAAAAAGAAAAGTTTTCTGGGCTTAGTCTGATCTAAGCCTCACTCACTGATGACCCATACTCTGGCACAGCTCCCGTTTGATTGCTGCTACCTTTCTGGGGAACCAAGTCTTCATTTTGAGAATGCTCATCTTTCTGAAAGTAGCTATCTTTACTAATTAGGAAGCAATAAAAAATAAATTAGTTTGTAAAGATAAATCTGAGATTAATAAAATGAGAAACTTTCCAGATCATCTATGAATCTCTATCAGAGATTTGGTTACAGCTAACACAAACAGTATATTTCATTAAAGCATGGAGTGTTCTTTTTATCTATTTGTTGAATTTTTCTGAAGATCTACTAGGTAAAATATAGAAACCAGAAACAAAAGCTCTTAAAAATAATCTCTCTTACAACACATAAAAAGGGATACATATTTGCCAAATCAAAATGAACAATACTGACCGGAAATTTGATTTTGAAGCCCTTAAGACAGTAGTGGTAGAATGAGTCATTTCTTTCAGCTTTAGAAACTAGAAGATGACCTTTCAATATTGTCTTTGAAAAACGGGAAATTAAAAGTCTGCTTTATATCAAGAGTTTAAATCCAGTCTTAAAAAAATAAGAAAATCAAAACATTGACATGAAACTACTACCATGTACCTGATTTACTTATTCTAGAAAATACTACACAATCTTGACACAAGAGAAATGACTCCAAGTAAGTTTTTCCTTACTTTCAAATTTGTTTTTGGAGGACATTTTTTTTCATTGGTATGCCTAAATCAAGCTCTAGTTTTTTAATTCAAACTTGTATATTGGTGCAGGCCTTGTTTGTTTACTACAGGGGGGAGACTTAAATTATAATTCTGTAATAGTTAATTATTTTACCACACATACTATAGAATCTTTTCATTGTGTCTCAGTTATTAATTACTGTTACCAACTCTTATGATAGATTAAAAGCCTGAAAGAAAGAAATACTGAAGTTTGTTTATCTTTAGTCTCCTTAGAGTCAGAAGGATTGTAGTGAATGACTATAAAACCAAGTTGCCTGAGCAGAAAAGAATAAAGATATATTTTTTTTGTGACTAAAAAAAAGGAGGAAAGAAAAAAATCTCAAAAATAAAATCTAGAGTTTAGTTGCTGGATTCTTGCTCTGAAACCATCCTTTCCATAGCATTGATTCCATAGTAACAGTAGTGCCATGAAAAGATAACACTGAAGCCTGAAAATGTCTGCCCATTAAATTCTCTTTAGTCTCTTGATTTTGAATGACAGCAGCAAAGATTTGTATGCAGTACCAGAGAAAAATCATAAAACTCTTTGATTAGAAGAAACCTAGAAGTTGTTGGGACTAGAGTGAGCGATGTTATAAAAAGAAAAGCCAAAGGACAAGTCAGTGTCATCTCACCCCCAAAGTGAGATGCTATTCATGGAGCAGTTATGGAAAGGTAGCATGAAGCTAAAGAAAAGTGAGAGGAAGCAACTAAGACGGATAATTATTTCCTACTATATGCCAGAAACTGGACCAGGCTTTTCCTGTTCATTATCTTAAAGCCCTAAAACAGCCCTACCATAATAGCCCTGCAAAGAAAATGTATTAGCCCCATTTTATACACACGAGACAGGTGATTGATCTTACTCAATTTCATGCACCCATGAAGTGGTGGAGGTAAAAAAATTAAAAACAACTCAGAACAGGCTGATTCCAATGTCCTTGATTTTATCTCCAGCTGATTCAGTCTGACTCACTCTCTAGTGAGGCTTAGTAGCACTTCTGGGCTTCCCAGATGGCTCAGTGGTAAAGAATCTGCCTGCAATGCAGGAGACACAGGTTCAATCCCTGGGTCAGGAAGACCCCCCTGGAGGAAGAAGTGGCAACCCACGCCAGTATTCTTGCTGGGAAAATCCCATGGACAGAGGAGCCTGCTGGTCAAAGTCCATAGGGTGGCAAAGAATCAGACCCAGCTGAGTCACTGAGCGCACACAGGCACGTATGAGCACATACACACGTGTGCACACACACGCAAGCACCTCCAGAGCAAACAGATCTCTCTCTTCTTTTTCATATCTCCTTTCCTATCCTCCTCTAACTCCTCTAGATCTGAGCAGAAAATCCAGCCAAGGTCTAGTAAATAGTACCCTGTGCTCAGATGCTCCAATTTGATCCAAGTGACTGTGTCTAGGAAAAGACAGAGTTATGTGCTTCTCCACGGGATATCTCATCAGAGAGGACTATAAGACCCCACTTTTATGAAAAGTTTCTCTGAACCTGGCAGATATTTTGAGGATCAGCCAGTTCATAACCATAGCTTAGCTCATCCACAAATTTTTAATCCACAGAAATGATAAGATTTAAAAGAATCAGTAATTAACCAAAAAGTAATACCAGTGCTCCTAATGTTTGTCAGAGACACTCAATTTGTTCTACTGGTTTCCCTTTCCCCTTGCTAAAATAAAATAGTTACTGAAACATTGTTAAACATAGGTGGGTCACCTTAATACACCATCAAATGAGTAAGGAGGAACTTAGTTTAAGTGGCTATTTTCTATGAATTCCCTGATATAATGAAGGGAGTAAACATAATAATTATTATAATGCTTACTAACTCTTTAGCATGGAGGCAAAAAACAAATTTTTCTGCAGAAAATATTAATTTAAAATAGA